TCCGGACGGAAATCTTGCGACGCCACTGCGTCGCGCTTCCTTTTCTGGAATTTCGAGGTCATAGTCCCGCAGAAATTTTGCGATAAAAAGATTTTGGGAGTGTCTTCATCCGAAAAATTTTGTGACCCCCCCCCCCGAGCGGAACCCTGGGTACCCCACTGGTATAGAAATAGCATATAATTGCTAATTGTTGTATATTAAGCAAAGGTAAACAGAAAAATGCACACGCGAGCGAAGGAGTCTCTCAGTAAGCTCACAACTTCATGCTCAACTTTATGATGCTCCTACCGTGTTCTAAAATTCCACCGATTCAGGCGCTGGTTTTTCATAGTGACCATTACTCTCATGTAGCAATACGTCAATGTAGTTCACGCCATGATGTGAACCAGGAGAGATGATAGGAAAGGTTACATGACATACGTAGTCAATGAACCGAATCAGTCTCATTAATTTGCCGACCGCGAACGACACATGAATGTTTCTTATGATAAACGATACGTAACCTACTATGCGAATTATCCTTACAGGTTTCCATTTTTTGAAACGTCAAGCTTTTCATAAATCCACTCTTCTTACAGCCCTCTTCCTTTGTGTAACCAGCGAATTGAAAGAGGAAGATGTTCCTCTGGAGCTAAGAAGAAATTTTGACAAGAATAAAATCATAATTCCAAGTGCGCGTCAATTTGGCATAGAACTTTATGCCAATGTTACTGTCAAAGCGTTTGTAGCTATTATCAATAGCCTTTCAGAGGAAAGGTAAGAAGCGTTATTTGCCTGCATACTTCATAGGAGAAAAATTCCAGGATGAAGCAGTTGTCGCTGAGGAGGAAGTTGAAAGCCAAAGAATGTTTGGAGATGTCAGTAAGCCTGTCTGATAGAGCGAAATGTTTTCTTTTTGTGTTGGAGAACCTTCGTCAAATGAAGAGAAGAAGGAGAACGACGACGCTCAAGAGAGTGGGTGAGTCTACGCAACCATCTTTCTCATGGTGCATATGAATTTTTGAGATTCAATGGTAAAACGAAGACGGAGGCATACTGCGTACATTCCAAAAGTTATGGGGAAGGACTCGAAGAAGCTTGAGCAATTGTGAGTCAGTAAGCTGCTGTATTGAGCAGAAGATCTAAAGGTACTT